CATAAAATGTCATAATATAGTAAGGCATAAAAAGTCATAATGTAATTAGCCATAAAAAAGACATAGTATAGTAAGGCATAAAAAAGTCATAGTGTAGGAAGGCATGAAAGTCGTAAAAACGTCATAGTATAGTAAGGCATAAAAATTCATTGAAAAGTCATGGAATAGTAAGGTATAAAACGTCATAGTATAGTAAGTCAAAAAAACGTCATAGTGTAGTAAGCCATAAAAAGTCATAAAAAAGACAGTATAGTAAGATATAAAAAGTCATAGTAAAGTAAGCCATAAAAAGTCATAAAACATCGTAATATAGTAAGGCACAAAAAGTTATTAAAAAGTCATAGTATAGTAAGGCATAAAAAATCATAAAAAAGTAATAGTATATTAAGGCGTAAAAAGTCACAGTATAGAATGGCATAAAGAAATCATAGCATAGTTATACAAAAAATGTATGTATGGGTGTATTTACATTAAAATAAAACTGCACAGTAACAGATCAAAGAGTGAAAAGAAATTATCCTGTGTTATATTAACTTACACATTAATATCACAATGAGTGGATTCTGGTTACATTAAATGTAAGTCAATAATTTACATTAATCCATAATAGCGTATAATTAATCACACTATCATTTTATACCCTGAAGATGCACCTGTTTCCTCATCAGTTGCTCTGATTACTACAAAATAATTAATTCATGCTGAAATTCAACTCATATTTTGTTATATCCACGATTTTATGTTTCCTCCTGCTAGCAACCTGACTGCTAACCTACAGAAGACAGAAACCAAGGCTAGCTTGCTAGTTAACGCTAGCTAACATGATTAAATAGCATCAGTTAATTTTTCTGATGACGTTAGGTACCAGTGTGAGTTTCTTCACAAACATGTTTATGCAGACAGATAAATCTCATAAACAATCTGTGAAAGGAAGCAGTGGGTTTATGAAGCACATGTCGCTCAGCATGAGCAGTAATGCTGCGTTGAGCTTCATCAGCATTAGCACACAGAGTGAAAAACAAACTACCAGACCTCTTTTACCCTTCCACTCTCTTTTTACCCTCTCGTCTCCTCCATCTTGCCTCTCCTCCTCCTCTCTTCCTCTCTACAGTATGTGGAGCAGAATGACTAATGATCAGTTGCTCTGTCACACACCAGAGACTTTCTTTCCCTGCAGCTACATCCAAAATTAGCACACACACACACACACACACACACACACACACACACACACACACACACACACAGGCCCACTCATACACTCATCTGAGCGTGCACACAAACAAACACCCAGATATTCATACAGCATGTACATGCACACACAGAAGAAGAGGTGCAGCTCCACCAGAACACTTTGACCTCTGTATCACTATGAGCACAAGATGCAGTAGAAGATCTGAAGGAGAAGTTTTGGGAATCTGTTTTGGGTTTGTGTGGTCATGTGGCCTGAGTAGAGACACTGTCCTGCAGCTGAAGGGTCAAAGGTCAAAAAAAGAGAAGCTCTTTCTCTAATTCTGTCAGAGGTGTTTGACACAGATATGAAGCTAAATAAAGACACAACTTCTGATCTGTGTTACAAACTCTCCCCACTGGTTCATGTTTGGACCTGAAGTGCTGCGCTGCACTGTTCTCCGAGTCGTTCTCTGAGCAGCAGCGCTCTCTGCTGGAGAGAAGCAGCTACTACAGATTTCTTTCACACACTGGCTTCACTTCATTCATTGATCCCTACAGTGAGAACTGAGACTCATGTTCGATGACACTTCAGGCGAGAAGATGCTTCCTGTCATCAGACTGAAGATTACAACATTACATTTATTGTCTCTTTGTTTTTCTTGGCTGCAACAACCTGCTCACTGACTCCAGCTCTGCTATTCCAAGACACGTGACCAACTTACAGCTGACCGGATCTAACCTTTTACTGATGTTTCATATTCAAATATAAACTCAGATACTTCTCTGTAATAAAAAGATCAATTATCTATAATAATGCCTGAAAAAAAAGAGATTTTTGTGTAGATAGATAGTAAAAGAAACTTATGGTCCAACATACGCTTGGGTCCTCGGCCCGAGTCAGGCCCATATACTTCCACATCTGGGCAGAGTGTAGCTGTTGTCCTCAGGTACTGACTGACAGCCAGGAGATCCAGTTATGTGGAATCTTACAACCATGCTGTATATGGGCCAGATTCGGGCCGTGGAACAGGGCGTATACTGGGCCAGAAGAAATCAAGCATGTGGCCTCAAGTATGGGCCAGATTTCTTTTGCTATCTGGGGAGGTTTTGTGGTGCAGAGCTTTTCCGCTGACAGCTGTTTAGACAGAAAAAAAAAATCACACTGACTAAATGTGGTTGCTTCCTGTTTTGACAGAGAAGCTCTGATCTAAACCATAATATGTAAAAACAGCCTTTTTTCATGGCATGTAAATATGCAACAGCAGAAATAGCAACAACGCACACAAATGAGGCGGCAGACGAAGATGTAAACAACTGTTTATTAAGCGCTGCTGATGGTACAATGTTGGGCACAAATAGACTCTTTTGGGAAAATTCATTATCTTAAACTGAAATCATGTAGCTTATGTACAACAAAATAAAATGTCAGTTTACATTGTTGGAGAATTTGCACGTTTTGGTGCGAGATATTAGTGGCATTTTAAGCAATGACTATTATTTTTAGGCAGAAGTAGAAGTAGTAATTTCCCTCCCACCAGGCAGGTGTAGTCAGTAGGCTGTTGACTCCTTCTGTTGTATATCTGGATTTTGCATTAAAAAAGCGGATCAGACACCCGACCGTCATGCAATAATGACACCAGCAAAAACGCCAAATTCAGCTCACTGCACCCAATTCTTAGTTTGAATCACTAAAGCTCTTAAACTGTCTTTTTGTCACAAATATCATCTGCAAAATATCTTATGTTACAGTTGACATATATATACATATAAACAGCGTAGCATCTCTATGCAACACCGTTCTCTGAACACCATACAGATATTTCACAGTGTGCAGTCTAAAATAGTCAGTATGAGATGGTTTCTGCACAAATTCTCTGCTGTTAGTGGTGAGAAAAATGAGCGTTATCTCAGGCTGTGGCTGCTGTAAAAAAAACAAAAAAAAAAACAGGAAGTCACAGGGCAAGCTGACAAATATGAGACCTTGGGGATGAGATAAAATACAGAATTAAAAGTTGTTTTCCACATAAAATAACAGGCCAGTGTGTTTGCCTGTAACAGCACAGTCAACTCAGCTGAAGAGTGAATGTCATTCCCCAGCAGTGAAATAACCTCCAAACTCCAGAGTCACTTTCCATTTTCTATCAGGGGCAAAGACGTCACCTAATGATTATGTTTCCTCTTCTGCTCCACCATGCTTTGCACTCTCTGCAGTCGGCTGTATGTAATTATGAAGCCTTCTGCTGTTAAACTCATGATAAAAAAATATGGATAAAAGTGTCAGCTAACGCCAAAAATATCTAGCGAAATGATAAATTATTCATCGCCAGTTGAAAAAAATGTTCACACAGTTGTTCTTGCAATAGGTTATTAATAAGGTTTGAAAGTGTCTCAACAATCAATTCAAACAAAAGTGTCATTTTCTCCACTGAACAGTTTAAAGTTTTGAACTGGTTGTAGCGATGGAAAATCACTATGCTGGTTTCAAGAAAATTACAGTGATGCAATACTTTGTGAAAAGTGGGATCTCCCTTCTCTCAAAATGTCCCTGTAGTTTCCACCACAGAAAGAGAGAAACAGGCGTAAAGAGACTTTCCGTGTCCTTTAATGACACGTCTGACCAAAAATAACTAAAAACACCATCAAACCCAGCAGCTCACTGAGAGCGGAGAGGCCCCGGGCAGAAAGGCACCATCAGCACAACGGGACATACATACAGTAATGAGGTTATCTCCCAAATGGCGCCCTACCATTCTTCAAGCGGCGCCGACAGTGGGCTCCATTCAAGCCGTCACCTACATAATGTAGTGCACTTTCTACACTGAGGCCTGTTTTCTCCATAATGTATAAACGCTGAACTCTGCTGATCCTCTTATCGCTGAAAAATTAATCAAATCCAACCGGAAACGTGGAGGAACTAAAAAGCTGGGGAGGAAATAGGTGCTTTCTGGATTTTTTCTGCTAAATAAAGCTACAAAAAATACGAATCTGATTTTTCCTAGGGGCTTTCACATGGATAAAATAAAAGCTCTTCACTGCCTTGAGTGCATTTTATTCTGTATATTTACAACTTTACATTCAATCGTTTCTCAGCTACTAACTCTGATCAGAAACAGGCGGACTGTTTGGCACTAACTGTTTTTTTCCCCCATAATATCCCACATCATTACATGGACGTTAAACACAGACACAGTTCAGAGGGACAAAGAGGGGACACAGACCATTTACGAAAAATCATACCAACACTTTGTTCTCTGAAATCTGCTCATTCTTTTCTTCTTTTAGCGTTAGAGTAACAGGCACGAGCAGCTGCCAGTGACAATGCAAATAATCATAACAACTACAAAAAGGGTTTAACGTTATTTCTTAACAGACTTTTTTTTTTTTTTTAGATATAAAGTATATACTATATACGGCTAATAAAAATAAAAATGAAAATAAGTACGACAGAAGCTTTTTCAGTTCAGATTAGACAAACAAGCTGAACAGAGACAAAACACATGGACTGGAAGGGGAAAATAAAGTCAGAAAATGTCTGTAACTTTCTTAAAGGGGCTATTTGTAAGTTTTGTAAGTGGTGGTGTGTGTCGCTTGACGAGAGTTTCGGCCATTGTTGTCTTTATAGCAAAAGAGGTTATAAATCCTCTGAGCAGCACTAAGTCTTCAGGACAGATTTGAAGCTACAGTGAGTCGTTGAGACAGGCCGAGGCTAGCTGGTTAGCATGCTAACGTCAGTAGAAGAACAGACGTGATAGAGACAAGAGTTAACATTGACGTTACTTTCCACCTCTGAGTACAGGAATAAAGTTTGAACTCACAACATTTCTTCTAGACTGGTAGGTAAACAGCTGGTAATGCTAACGCTAGCTATGTAGCAATACCAAAACTTACAATTAGCTCCTTTAAAGACACAGTAAAATTAAAGATACTTTTTTTTTTTCTTTTACAAGGTTAAACTCTGTGTCGCTGTGGTAACGGTTCAGTTATCTCTTGTAACATGCTAAATATGTTTTATATCAAATTCCCTTTTTTCTCTTTCTGTAAAGTTCAACAAAATTTTCCTATGACTCATCTTGAACTCAGGGACGTCTACATACATTTGTATATAGTGTGTGTATTTGTTCAGTCAACAAAAACTTATTTAAATCCCTTTCATATCCCATTATTACTCAGAAAAATTTTACTGAAGCTAAAAAAACTCCCTTAAAGTCAGAGGATTTTGATCACATTACCCAAATCACATCACCGTGAGCTGCAGTCCTATTTTCATCGGAGATTATAATGAGGAAACAGTCCAGAAAAATCCACGCTAACATCATATTTCTATTTCAAACAGCGACAGTTCAAAGAAATCATGAAACATAACACATGTGATCCGAGACAAGAGGTCTCATTGAAAATTATGAACCGTTAATTCCCTGCTGCGACACATCACTTGACTGTATAGCTGTACAAATGTCAGCCGATCCGTTCACACACACATGCAGACAATAATTACGCTGTGAGACACTCAAAGGGCTGACAGGTGCACAGCTCCTGTTCTCCACCTCCAGGGGAAAGTTCATCACAGCGGCACAGGTGGAGGTCACTGGATCACCAGGCTGGAGAATGAGTGGGTGGAGAAACCTGCTACGTTTTCACTGTTGAACATCATTTCCTCCAATGCCAAATGTCACTTTTTGTCTCTTTTGCTTCTCAGTCAGAGGTCCGTCAGTCTGTACCCGCTTCTCCTTCCAAGATCTTATGTGTGTTAATGGCTGCAGGTGTGTGTACATGTATGTGTGTTTATACGTCCGTGTCTCTGAGCGTGTGTTTCGATTGTGTGTAGACATTCAGTACCCTGTACCGTTGGCAGGCGCGTGTGTGTTGAGCACAGAGAAGTGTGTTCCCGTCCCTGGAGCGGTGAAGCTGTAAGCTGCGTACGCCACAGCGGAGCCCACCATCAGGCCCGTCATATAGGAGACCGTCATGGTGTTCCCTGGAGAGAGAATCAGAGAATGAGTGTGGAGCTGATACAGAGAGAGAACAGGAGAGTCGCTCCTCCAGAGTGAGCAGTGGTAGGCTGGAACTTTTATTTATTTATTTATCTTTTGGTGAAACAGCGTGACAAACCATAAACTACAATCACTGCCTCGTGTTTGTATCCCTCCGCCACTCAGACTAGTTCCAGGTTAAATCCCTGTTTATCCAAAGTCATGTGAAATATGAACCATTTGTGTGAAATTTTCTTTAGTTTGTTGAGTAATGGCTAAAAAATGTTTTCTGAGGTCACCGTGACCATGACCTTTGACCTTTGACCACCAAAGTCTAATCAGTTCGTCCTTGAGTCCTAGTGAATGTTTGTGCCAAATTTTAAGAAGTTCCATCAGGGTGTTACTGAGACATCGTGTCTACGAGAATGGGACGGATGGACAGACAACCTGAAAACAATATGGCTGCTGCTCTGACTGTCGCCGGCGCGGAGGGAATAAAAATAACAAACACTTATAAGATGAGATAGATCAATAACATATATGATCAATAACGGACAAACACACTGACAATAATATGAAGCTGTTGTAACAACGACAGATGGAACTTTTACAGCTAACGAGGCTCGGTCCCACAATCCACCTACCAGCACCGTAAAGCTCATTAATTAAGACATTACATCTCTTTTGTTTTCATCCAGGATCACAACTAGTGATTATTTTCAACCAATTCATCTTTTGGTTTGATTTTTTAGATTAGTCGATTATGTAAAACATCAGGAAATCAGTTGAAGCAGCAAAATTGAGATGATTTGATCAACAAACAAGATAAAAACTCAAAAATATTCAGTTTGCAATGATATGCAGCAGCTGGAGAGCAGCAACACTGGAGAAGCTGGAACCAGCAAATGTTTGTTTTTTTATATGATAAACGCTGAATAGCTTATCAACATTGTTTTGATCCATTTCCTGTTGATCACATGAGCAACAGTGTGTCAAAGGTAACACGATAACATCGAGGTGAACAACTCACCTGCCAGCTCCCTCTGCTCGGGCGGCACTTTGCCGGCAGCCTGAATCATCGGCACGGACCCGAAGTATCCGTTGGTGACTCCCATGAGGAGGGAGAAAAGACAGGGCCAGGCAGGGTGGGACAGGGTGGGTGAGCTGGCCGGGTAAACGCACATGACGAACAGAGGGATGAAGATCACCCTGAGGCAGGAGAAGAAGAGCAGACGGCCTCCAGACCAGTCGTACGGCAGCGCTGCCAGGATCTGAGGAGCAGGGGACATTTCAGTGATGCTGGAGGCTCGACCAGCTGCTTCACTGGGAGGCCGCTAGCACAACAACTGAATCAAAATGTACTTTATTCTATTCCCTCTTTCCTATTATATTCCCAATTCTTATCACAACTCTTCTTTTACCTCTAAGCTACCTTAATTTTCCTTTCTATTTAATTTCTCTTCTCCTTATCTCCTTTTTTTTACTCCATTTCAGCAAAATGCAAAATTTGCTGTGAGGACAAAGACAAAGCTTACAATCTCAATCAACTTTTTTCCTGTCAAAGTCAAAATTATGACTTAAGGACACTTGATAAGGTTTCATTTCTGAATATTCAGATAGCGCCTTTGAGCTAAGAGCAATTATCCAAAAATAAACCAGAGTTTCCCCGGCCTTACGCTCAGGTTTTTAATAAGTGGGGCGACTCCTTCAACAATTTCACAAGGTTAACTTCAGTGTGACTTTGTCTCTTCAAAGCTTCTGTAGTGCATAGAAGCTTGAAAAATACAATTAAATCCCAGAATCCCAGGAGAGAGGGATGATAAAGGATCATTCCCATGTTTTCTGGTGTTACCAACAATGATGATCCAGTGGATTTTATACTAGAGAATAACCAGACTTACAGTTTCTCTACTACACAAATCACAGATATAAGCTGGATGAAAGTATCCTCAACAAACCTCACAGAGATTTTATACCTGAGGCTATGAATGCCTGAATAAAAGGACAGTGCTACTACAAATGCTCATTAACTAAGACGTATTAAGTTAAAAATTGTTTTAAACGCTTGTATTTTAATGTAAACCTTCAATAACTATCTTTTTTTTGCCACATGGGGGCAGCAGACACAACCTGTAACCTGTAAGTTGATACAGCAACCCCCTTTTTATGTACAACCCCTCCATCTCCCAGAAGTAATTTTCAAAATTGAAAAAAATTATACTGATTAACACTCAGTGTGTGTTCTGCATGATGTGATGTAACATGTGAGTAATGAGGAAAGCTGTAGGATGCTGCAACCCTACCTTCAGGTGTCTGAGGCTTATTTGTATTATTATTATTATTATTATAATTATTTTTTTACACCACACTCTCCTGGTCCCTGTCAATCACTATATCCTGTTTTTATTAGTGCAATCTACACAAGCTGTAATGTTTCACATAGTGCAGTAGTAATCTGTATTGGTGTGTTGTGGCAGTGAGGTTTGGACTACATTCAGACAGCCTCTCCAGGTTGGACAAAATAAAGCTCCGGTCCAGCTGGGTGTCACATGGTGTTGTCAGTACGTGATTTACTGTGTTTTATGAACGTTTTAAAAAATGTAACTCCATTTATGAGAATGATAAAGAAAATGATTCGAAAAAGGAGGGTTCCTGTTATGATTTGTACGAAAAAGAATAAATGAGAACGATAAAGAATTCAGGTAAGTTATGACAGTTACACGGGTTACATGACACGTAAAAAAAAAAAACCACTTGCGCCTCACCTTGCCAACAAAGTCCGACATGTTGAAGGTGGCCATGATGAGGATGGGGAGCCACTCCCCCAAGGTGGGGTTTCGTATCTCTGACTCCAGTCCAGGGAACAGACACAGAGTGATGCTGTAGGTCACTGCTATAGACAGCATGTAGGCCCAGATCACACGGGACACCACGTAACGATGCAGGATCATGTCTTGGTTGGAGAAGAAACACAAACACAGGGCGATGTTTAAAAAAAAACCTGAAGCTCTCCGCTGAGCAGGCAAATTCACTGAGAACACAGCCCTCTTCCCGACAATCACCAGGGGATGCATTTAAATTTCACATCCATCTGTTAGAGTCAGAGGGTAATTGAGCAGTGAGTATACGAGATTAAAACTGAGAGAACCTCGGACACCGGGCCAGCTCCTCCTTATCTTGGCTTTTGGGGCATCAAATCGCACATAGGTACCACCCACAAATTCCTCAACGCCTTCTTCTGGAGCAGACGGTCCCGTCCCACCGTTTCCCTGAAGAGACACACACACACACACACACACACACACACACACACACAGTCTTCAGTTTTTCAAATAAAACAACTCTTAAAGTGGAAACATTTCCAGTTCAGTGGTCGATATATACATATATATACAGTATATATATATATATATATACTGTATAGATCATAGATAAAATATATCATTAAAATATCTTATGTTTTTATCTATGAAATGAAAAAGAGGGAGAGTCCCGGTTTCATGTATTTTGACCACAGTAACTGTACTGTGATAAACTATGATGAAGAACAACTGATAAAACAACAACTCCCTCCCATTGAAGCAGTCATGAAGTCTGATTGTCTGTCTATTCCTCAATTATTTATAGTCCGTAAGGGTCCATAGATCAAAAGAATCAAAGGGTTTTTCATAAAAGTCTTCTTGTGAATATTGTTGTGTGAAGTCCATCGCAGACTGTTGGGCAACTTCTTCTTCTTCACTTCTTCCAACATAAAAATTTTTTTTTCAAGTTTCGGCTGGGGGCTTAGGGTATGTTTGTTTCTGTTAGTTTACTGCCCGGCTATGAACTCCTAACCAATGACTCAGCCAGCTAATCTCTTCTCTGCCTAGACGCAACAAAAAACAGTTTAACTCTACTTTGATTATTTTAACTTCATTTCTGAAGCTGCTATAGCTAGCAGCTAGCCCCCTCTGTTGGCCAAAACAAGCGCAATGTTCGTTTTTTAATTCACACTTAAAAACAGGGACATTTCCAGGGATAGGCCGCCAACAACGGGGACAGTCCCCAGAAAACAGTGATGTCTGGTCACCCTATGCTAAAGTTCACATCTTAATGTCATAAAATATTAGGTAAAATCTCCTCATGGTTTTAAAATGTATTGAAAATATTATATGAACTATCAAATCACACGGGGAAAAATCATCATGTTGTTGTTCATTTCATGAGAGCACTTTCAAAGGCTTTTTGAAGGGCATTAACAGTTCATTAAGAAAACACTAAAGGAAGACATCACACAGTAAATAAACATATTCTGTGTCTGTGTTTGAACTTCGTCTTTTCACTTCTCTTTCATTGGTAATGGCTTCCCGGCTGCATGACATCAGCTTTTTATGGCAGCGGCTATTAGAGGACGACTATGAGTAGCTGCAGGTTGATGTAATTATGTTAAAGAGACTGCAGAGAGGACTGCAAATAAGCCCAGGAGCCACAAACACACACACACACACACACACACACACACACACACACACACACACACACACACACACACACACATTTTCTCTTCATCCAAATATATAGGCACATTCTTCTACTCATGCTTATTTTCAAACACACGCTTCTTCATATGAACATCACACAGGTGTGCACAAATAGTTACACACACACACACACACACACACATACACACACAGATCCATTAGTTGATTAGTGGGACTTGCAGGCCAGAGGGCACCACTCTTCTTGATTATTCCATAATATAGAGCGCTGCCTCGGTTTCCCATGGCAACCAGAACAAAGAGCCGCCTGGATCAGCCCCCCCCCCAACAAAACATCACACTCACACCACCAACACCAACACACACTACTGTAAAATACAGGGCATCCCTCATATATACCCACACACACACACACACACACACACACACAATCATGCACATATGAAATGACGACACCCTGAAGTGCCATGTTTTCCTTTGAAGGCTCTAAACACACACACACACACACACACACACACACATGATGAGGAACATTAGCTCCATGTCTTCAGTCTAACTAAGTGCTGCTTCAAGCGTGACTACAAAGAGGATTTTCCTCCTCTTCCATCATTTCTGTCCGTCGTTGTCGGGACCGGTGTCCTGCTCTGTGTCCTCCCCCCTCCCATTCCTTGCTCACTTTCTGTTTCTTTCAGTTGTGTCATTTTTCGTCATGATGCCTCCCTCTTCCTCCTCTTGGCTGGCTGCCTCTCTGCACTTGCACCCCCACCCCTCCACATGTTCTCGCCTCTCTTTGCCTCAACAGTTTTCTCACAACCTTTTCTCGTTTTCTGTCTGTTCGCAGGAGACTTCATTCTCCCCTTTTCTCTCTAAAACACCATCTGTCTCAATCCTTTTTTCTGCACCACCCGCACCACTGTCTCTGCACGCCTCATCCCTAATAACTCTTCCCAAAATCCCTTGCTCTTCCTCTCTCAACGCTTCCCTTTTGTGAGTGGCAGCCAAAAAAACATCCTGTACATGTAAATGTAGATGTAACGATTCTGCATTTTATAACACACACAACCCTCAATCACTCTGTGGACGTTCACACTTACACATGCAAGAGATACACACACACACATACACACACTCTCTGCAGAGAAATTGAGTTGCATGACACATCCGTTTTCTAGGAGCCTGACATTTCCTCCCTGTCTGAGTTCAGAAAGTTTGTTGTTGCAACATTTTTGAAGGATCGGATGAATCAAACATGTATAAGCTGATCCACGTGGAGTGGAAGAGTCGATCTCTCAGTATTACTTGAAAACCTAGACTTGAGAAAATACAGAGGCGACTAAATCATAAAATATTAAGTTGAAGCAAAATGTCTTAAATATAAAGTTAATCATGACAAACTGCCAGTGCAGCAGACACTAAAACTCAGCACATAACAACATAACGGGACTGTCCCTGTTTTTGGTGGCCTATCCGTTTGTAATTAAAAACAGACGTCTATCGCGCTTGTTTTGGCTAACACAGGGGGTTGGCTGCTAGCAGCTTCAGAAGTGAAGCTAAAACCATCAAAATAGAGTTATCCAATCAGATTTTGCTTTTCTTTCTTTTTTTAGTCTCAGAGCAGAGAAAAGGTTAGCTGGCTCACTCATTGGTTAGGAGTTCATATCCGGGCAATAAAGTAACAAAAACCAACATACTTCAAACGAATTTCACGACTGCTTCAAAGGTAGGGAGTTGTCATTTTTTCAGTCGGCCTTCACAATAGTTTATTACAATACAACAGTTACCATAGTCAAAATACATGACTGTCCGCTGTTAATTTGGCTAAGGGTTTTGTTTGGGTCAACATTAGATTATCTTTGTTGTCATGGTTACAATGATAACATCGTAGTTAACTTTCATAAACTGCTGCTTCCAGATGGGAATCGAACACCGCTCCCCTGTGTCATATTACTGTGTTTTGTTGACCCATCCATCCATCCATACCTAACCTCTCCTTACACTTCGTCACTGCACTTCTCCCTTTGCTCCTGTCATAATTACTACGGCCACTACATGTTGCCTAGCAACAAAGCGTAACTATGGGTCATAATAACCTGCTGCACAAACGACCGATGAGCTTGTTTGAATACACAGCACAAACACAGCATGTTCAAGAAAGTGTCCACAGACTTACAAATCTTACTTCCTCTGCAGTGACGTCATGGTGAACCCTGTATCCAGTCCCGTTGTCACGTGGGTCATGACCTTTGCCCGGGCCTTTGCCCTGGGCATGGTTGGTGTAGTAGCGGACGAATCGGGAGCGCCGCACCAGCAGGTGAAGCAGGAAGCAGAGCATCTCCATGCTGATGGAGACGAGGAAGAAGATGAGCGTGTTCCTCCTCTCGTCAGTGATCAGCAGCTTGGTGAAGATGCGGGACAGGGAGATGATCACCCCGGCCGTACCTGGAGAAACCGGAGGGGGTGGAGTCCAGACAGGTCGACGAGTAAGAACAGAGGAAAATACAGAAGATGGAGATCTTTGTCTGAGTGACGGTACTTACTCTCTCCAGTCATCACGCCCTGTGTGTACCTCTTGGGCAGCATCCCCATGTAACCATAGAAACTGGACTGCTGCACTGGGGAGGGAGGAGGAAGTGGTTATCAGAGCAAACAGTGGCCTAACAGTCAACACTGTAACAACAACACTTTATTTAGAGATGTCGCTTCATGAACCTCCACTCATCACTAGAGAGAGGCGGCTCTGACCTCCAGACCTCAATTAATTAAACTGTTATTTCTGTCGGCTGAAAGACTCTGTGTTCACACTCACAGTAACAACAAGGAAACTGGCTCAATGTATGAAAGTCATTAGCAGCAGCCGATGACTCAAGCCTCTTCTGTGTTTGTGTTTGTGCTGACACTGCTGCTCGTTCGTTTGACAGCTCTGATGGATAACATACATTTACATTGTAGTCCATATGCACACAGTACAGGAGGTGGACAAATTATCAACATGTTTACAGTAGCACAGTCCAGTCTAATAGCTCCACAGTGAGTCTGACTGTCTGAAAATGTATGTACCTACAGTATATTACATATTCTGTCTTTATCTTTATCAGATCTACAGCTGCATCTACTGTATGTAACATAAAGTAATAACATCCATATCCACCACATGAGACTTGCCATAAATCCTGACGTGCAATAAAGTCAACATTATCAAAATATTCTGCAAATTTTATATTCAAAATGTCTTACACGCAAATAAAAACACTTGGATTCAAGGTTTTGGAGTATATGTTTCTACTCTTTACAGTAAACCTACAAGTATTGATAATTTGACCAGTTGGTCAGTGAGACAAGTTGTAAACACACTGACTTTGTGTTAGCAAATATGTTAGCAAACAGTTGCTAATGTACGTCCAAAATTCACTCTCCTTTTTAGTTTTTGTTTTTGTCTCCACCAGGCAAATGTCTGGCACATTAGCTGCTAAATGCTCCTCCATTTTCACCAGCTAGCTGTTGACTTGGTCTGTTGGCCGTGTTGTCGTGGGCAGTTAGAGCTAATTCACTAAAAACAGCTGCCTACAAAGTAGCAGCCCGACTGTTAGCTAGCAGTGGCTAACATATAAATCCAGCAGATATGGAGCAACGTTAGCATTAATTAGCAGTTGTTTTTCTGGCGGACAGACAGACGAATAGATAGATAGATAGATAGATAGATAGATAGATAGATAGATAGATAGATAGATAGATAGATAGATAAGCATTAGTAGTACCTGTACATCCAAAGGCCACCACTCCCACTGACACCAGGTTGACGATGTACGCCTGCCTGGTGGTGAACTTTGCCAGCCAGACATCAAACACGCTGACGAAGACCAGCGGCCCCAGAGCTAAGATGTAACCTGGAGACAAAAAAACACAGACAGACAGACAGACAGATGGACAGTGAGGAGTCGTCTCTGAACTAGGTCATGTTGTGATTGCAATGAACAGATATTTGACAAAAGCCGGTGTGCGAACATTGGCGCTTTCGACTGAAGTTCGATTCCGACTTCATTATCCCCCAGAGACGAGCTCTTGTGCAGACAACACACTTCAAAAGACATCTCCTCAAGGATGCAAGCAGAGCTATTTTGAGCTGCAGAGGGTAAAGTGGTGAAACCTTGCTCTTACTTACAGCGTATATGTGCAGAGAAATCCAACCTCTCCTCGGGGAACATACATTTTTAAAGAACTTTTTTTTCGCAAACTTTTTGCTCAAAAATGATTTGTTATATACAGATAGGATGAACTGCTTTAATATTTTTATGTTACTTATGTCCTATGAAGAACTATTTACACTTCAAAGACGCAGTATCTTTAAAAAACGGCTTTTAAATGAACAATTTTGAAGCACATTTAATCTCTGTAGTATCACACTTCAGTTTATTACAAACCTGATGTCAAATCTGCCTAGATGTGAATACTTATATGTGAATGGTTTGCTTTAATAGCTTTGTGAAATGTTATGATAGCTAAAAAACTCAGGATGATGTAAGATCTTGAAAGAGAGACCCTTGTGAATTCACAGTCTTTGGCAAAGTTTGTTTGAGACAGTTTGTGACTAAAATACACAGGAGAATTATTATTTTTTTCTCTTCCTCTTTATACTGTCTTCTCATTTTCGCTCTGTGTACTCTGCTCTGATGAGCCCTGAGGTTCCCACAGGGTCATTAATAAATGAGTAGCGGTATAAGTTCCTATAATGAGAGACATTTCACAATTAGAGGTTTGTCTGTCCCTGTCTGACTTACCCACAGTAATTCTGGTGTGCAAGCTGAGCCTCTCCACCAGCACATTGTTGAGGATGACGGCCAACAGAGCCACCAGGATGTACGTCAGACTCATGTCGAACACGATGGACGTGCCTGAAACACACACACACACACACACACACACACACACACACACACACACACACACAAGAGCCGTGACTCCTGGGAGTTGGACATGAATGCGTTCTGTCCAGGTGCTTGTGTCTGTAAAATTCATGCATCCCCCTTTTTTTTGTTTGTTTTTGTAAGAACATGCGTGGGTTTATTTGTACTCATGTATATTTATACCTTCAAACTTGTGGTGCAGGTAGTCCACATCTGTTATGAAACTGTTGTAAGGAAGCAGGAAACCCACTCCAGCCAATAGCATGGCAAAGTAGATGCCATGGTAACGGTCGTCAGGGATCGGCTCCTCAAAGTCTGGGACCGGAATGAGGGAGTCAAGGGTTAGAGAATTAAAAGAGTATGAAATCATGCTCAAGCAGCGGGAATAAAAATGACTTCAAAACATCAGAATTAGGTCTGAAGCCAACGCACTCCGTCTTCATTAAAGCTAATCAGGATGAATGCTGATAGAGCGGAGCAGAGGCGTAGCTGCGGCTCTGCTGATGGAGCAGCTCGCGCTGTTCCTGTTGTGCTGGTTAAAGACTGATCACAGGAATTGTGGGTGAATCATTGGACTATCTGCACGAGTGGTTTCAGTCACAAGTAGGACTTTTGTGTTGTGCAGCTGATTCAGTTTCATGGTTTAAGTGCAATGTGCAGGTTCTTTATATAACTGTTTATAATCCTTTCCTAATCCTGTGAGCCGACTATTAATGGCTCCAAATGATTTTTTGAGCATTTAGATTTTACAGCAGACTGAAGGAGAAAAAACCCCAATCATTAATGTCACAGCTTAATGATTCGTCCAATTAATTATTATGCAAACTGGGGTTGATAAATGATTTTCCTCCTCATCTGTTGATGGGTGATAGTCTGCACTTAGCTCAGCAGTAATCTTTGTGATTATCTTATAACTAATTATCTGTTTTAACGACCATATTTGCATTTCTGCCGGGTCTGTTGTTTCTTGACACACAGCATGTGAAGCAGTTCAGGCTTACAGCAGCACATTTGTTCAGAATGAAGCAAAGTGTCTCGTTAGCACGAGCAGTGATCATGTCACTGTGGATCAGAGCAGGCTCCCTTTCTAGTTAGTGCAGCCTCTGGTGAGAAGGACTCTCTCGCTCTCAGAGGTGGTGGTAGACGGGGAGGGGGCGGGGAAATCTATCAAATAGTGCATTCCTATCTCTGTACAGAAATAATGCAATTAGTCAAATTAGTCACACCAGGAAAAACTACAAAATAAACCACAATTCATTAATAATCCTGTGAAATCGTGATATATAGATATAGAATTGGTTTTCTATATCTATATATATTATTTGTCTTTGTGGGTCATTGACTTCTGTCGATAAACTATTGCGTAAAGTTGGAAAAGATTTGGATAGTCTCATAGTGTCATGTTGCTTCACTCCATGTGAGTCTATTGAAAACAGAGCGTCGATGTAAATAAAGTAAATATTACAGTAAATATTTGTACAAAGTTCAAGGAAAATGATTCTGTGCGAAAATGTGCGTAAACACAGTCCATTCATAATACTGTGAAGTCATTAAGAATAATAAACTAGTCTGCACACCAACACCTGTGTGTGTCTTGTTTATATTGGTATCTATTTATCTATAGGCCTATATACAGATATATAGATATAGAAATATAGAGAGATGTGTTACTTTATTCTGGTATTTATGAGTGTATTTAATGTTGGTACTAACTGATGATGAAAGCAAGAAATGTCATACTTCAAATGACAGTTGTGCAATTCAGAATGAGTGTGTCTTGTTTGAAGGTTGTAATAATAATAATAAGTAGGTTCTCTTGTTAATCTATTTGTGGGATGAAGGATTTCTGCAGCTTAGTGATTTTGGTTGTCTGTTATTTGTCTGTATATAAGAGAGACAGAAGCTTTTCTTGGCTTTTCTTTCTTGTCTTGGTATTTATGATTGTAAATAATGGGATTTATCATTTATTTAGTTTTTGAAAGTTATGATAATTTGTTGCAAGAATATTTTCAGAAATATCTGCAGGATTAACGGTTTGTTTTGAGGAATAATATCACAGGAATATTATTATAAAAAATGTACAGAAGGATTTTCATTTGCCCAGGGCACCATGCAAGCTGGAACCGCCACTGAGTGACACATCGTCATCATGGACGCACAGACAGAGGAAAAGATCTGTGCCTGCAGAAAGTCAAACCTCATTAACAGAGAATCCGTTGAAGAGGACACCGCAGCATTGCTCACACTGTCACTGACATTTCAGAGCAGGAACTAACAACATGAAAGTGCTTTAGGATGGATTTTTATTTTCTAATGTTCATATTTTGGGGCTGTTTTTTGGAGGAGGTACAGGGCAACACCAAAGCACTTAGGAACTAGAGTTTGTGGAGGTATTTTGGGTTCTACACTTTAGATCACAAGATTACAAACAAAGATAAGGCTGTTTGCCGACTTTGTAAAAAGCCTTACTCTACAGCAACAGCAAACTCAGACTTACCCGCGAGCTAAACACAAGTGGCAGTGAAGGCAGCACAAACAAGTGGAGCAACATCAACCTTGTCTGACTGTCTATACTCAAGACACTAAGTGCAGCACCGCACATGACAGTATAAAGACTCTGATCACTGATGCATGGCCACGTCAGTCACAGCTCTCTGTTTCATTTGACTGATTGGGTTACGTTTGAATTTATTTGAAGGAATTACATGTTGGTTCAGAGGTCTATGAGGTTCATGAGTCCTAGTGAACGTTTGTGCCAAATCTGAAGGGATTCTCTTGAGGAGTTCAAGATATTGCATTCATTAGGCCAAAGTCCTGTTTCGTGAGATCACCGTGACCTTGACCTTTGACCCTTGACAGACGGACGGACATACGTCGGCAGCGCGGAGGAAAACATGTCAGACTTCTCCACCTTCGTCTGAAAAATATATTTAACGACAGGCCAGGATGAAGTCTGTCCGCCTTCTCTGAGCTTGTAAGGGAAAAGGACAGACTCATTCCGTGTGGAACCAGCATACTCCTTTTATTTTTTGCTGCCTGCAGACTGAGGTATGGAGACTGACAGCAACAAGAGGAGAGAGACAGAGGCAAAGGCCCTCGCTGTGTGTCCTCGGTCACTTCTGATTTGATTAACGTGCCCTTTGTGCAACCTGAGTAACCAGGCAACACAGCAATTATTCTGTTAACAGGCCTGCCCATAATGGTTTACATACACATCCTTTGTGCTCCCATCACTGTTTTCATTCACTCTGGCCTCAACCATCGTCACATAAACACACACCCACACACACACACACACACACACACACACACACACACACACAAGCAACACCACACACACACACACACACACACACACTGCACAAGCCGACTAAATGCAAAATGTAAAAAATAAAAACTAATCTGCCCTTTTGGTGGCGACTGGAGTTTTGCCTCAGCTGTTGTGCATCATTTTCCCATTTTTCTAAAGTGGATAAAACATTTCTCGGGTACATTAGCATAAACTGTGCTTTATCTTCGAGCCTCTCTGTGGGTGTTCTCCATGGCAGCAGTTGAGTGACATTTGAGAGACGGGTCTGGTCGCGGTGAGGCTGCCAGAACTCAAAGCAACGAATCCTGTAAACTCAGCACTGCTAACACAGGACACTGAGTTAAACAGGGAGTGCTTAAACAACAGATGGGACTAATTGACATCAGTCCACTGCCTGAAAAACTGTCACGATATACCTGTACTGACAATAACCATGGTATTTTACTTACTTTTGTTTATCAATTCATCTGGTTTCCTTTTCACTCTCCATTAATGTATAATTGTTCTATTTGTCACACTTGTATTTGAGTCTAATTCATTTGCCAAAAAAGCCAAAAACACCATGAAAACAAAGTTAAGGATGAATTTGAATGAAAGGTTTTTTCCTCTTCAAATTTTCTAACATTATCGCAAAAATATCGTTATAGTCCAAATTCACACGGCGGCCATTTTCCTCTGGGTGACAGGATAATGTTGCACTGCTGTGTTCCAGGTTACACGTCATAAACATAGTGACTCTGATGAATTGTTTCTATTTGACGCGTCACAATCGATGAGCAACAGAAAAGACAATAGATAAGAAAAATCCGAAGAGACTTCGACCCATATTTCAATCTAAAACAACCTATTTGATAACCTCTTAGCTACCGTTAGCCAACAGCTAATGTTAGCATTCAACCACTCCTGAGCCAACATTACTGTTTGATAGTGCTACATGATACAATAGGAAAGAAATAAAGTAATTCTGAAATATCAACGCTGATCTCGACACGTTTAGTTCAGCATGGAAGTGAAACACACCGGATGTAAACAAGCTAGCAATGTAATGTTAGCTTCCTTGCTATCTTTTCACCCGGTTAAGTTAGCAGCGATGCATTTGCTCCGCTCTCATATTACTGCGTCATTGATGCAGGTTGATTATGAAACCATATAATATTAGTTAATGTTTAATGTTTGCACAAGCCAGTGGATTAATGAGTCATCTGACAACTGTAGTAGCACTAACATTGACATTTATGTCAATTGCAAACTTCACGTTTGCTAGCCTAGCATTAGCTTTCAATGTTTCCAGTGACGGCCTGTCTTTACTTTTAACATCTGACAAATTCAGGCTTCCCACCTTCAGCGTGACATCAGAGTAAAATGGCCGCCGAGTGAATATGGTCTAACATCACAACATCCCTAATTCACAGATGGCATCCTTACAAATACAGAGTTTAATGTAAAAATGTGGTGCTGGTGGTGCTCTATTAAACGCATTAAGAAACAGAGCTGTTAAATTAATTAAAAACATGACATTTTGAATTTAATGGAAACCAGTGAAATAACTCTTTTCTATCTCTGTGTTTTAGAGTAGAAGGATATTCTGTCGTTGTGGTTTTTCACTTTGATAAGTTGTTGTTGTTGAAACATCTATCTTGTTCCTTCCTTTCTTGTCTGTCTATTTATAAAGGCAGTACACACACACACACACACACACACACACACACACACACACACACACACACACACACGTAGACACACGTAAACACAAACACAGTTAGTCAGAACAGAAACTCCCTCACCAGGTTCGGACAGAGCCAGCACTCCTCGCTCAGGGGCGTCTTTATTGATCTCCTCCTCCTCCAGCTGGTACGAGTCGAAGCTGTAGCTCTGCACCACGCTGCTCTCTCTTCCCTCTCTCCAGCCCTCCCTCCCCACATCCCTCCATCCAGCTCTGCTTCCATCCCGCCACACATCCCTCTCTTCAGGCGTCTGGACTGGCGTGGGCCTTCGGCGCTCTGCTCCCACTGACCCCATGTCTTCACTTCAAGTACGCACACACACAAACACACACACTTAACACTCCCCTCGGTTGTACAAGCTACGCACTGTGGGGAGTGTGCATGGTAAACACAATCCCAGTGACACGCCCTGGAAGAGAGGCGGGAGACCTTCAGATGATGGAGGATCTGCAGGAGGAAACAACAGGAAACAGAAGCACAAACAGAATTAAAATGTAAGAGAAGAAGAAAGTGACAAGACACAAGGTTAGACACCCCAAAGAAACATAAGATTGCTGTGTGTGTGTTTGTGTGAGAGGCATATTAAATGAGAGAAACAGAGGTGGCATGACTGGGTGGCAGACAAGGTCAGTGAAAATGCACCTCTGCATTCAATAAACAGGCACTGCATTATATTATATTATTACTGTACGATGCAGAGGAGAAGAGAAAATTGATTACGAAATTAATTCATCACAGTTTAAATGATCAATTACTTGTTTAAGTTAAGTCAGCAGGTGAAGTAAGAAAACTGTGACAGGCCTTTATTACTATTTTCTGACATTTTAAGACTAAATGTATTAATCAAATAACAGACAAATCAGTAGACTCACTCCGTGTCTGTTAATAAATCACATTCTTGATTCATTGATCGGTTGTTTGGTCTGTAAACCATCAGAAAATATTGCAAGATGCACATCACAAGCTACTAGCTTCTTCTTCAGCTTCTTTAGTCCAAACAACAAACAACCAAAACCCAAAGACATTTCATTTACAGGGATGGAGATGAGACAAAAGGAGGAGGAGGAGGATAGTCGCCATCTGGGCTTTAAAAAAATGACTGAAACAATCAATCAGCTATAAACCGTGGAGATAAATGTGATCAACTAGGCCTAATTGATTAATCAACTAAGTATTTCATCTCTATTGTGAACATCTTCGCCTACTATTAAACCCATTTGACAGTGTAATGCAAAAACTCCCTGTGTTTGGATTTAAACATTTATCAGCAGGTGTCCTTCCTGTCGTCACAGCTGCTTCCATTCACTCCTGTCAACAGGGAACCTTGAGGGAAATTATATTGTTGCAAGCTAGATCAATATGAATGGGTATTGACATTGTTCAATATGCAAACACACACACAAAAGCTCATCTATTGTGTTTGACCTGTGTGGTTACACAAACACACAGGGAGTCACACATGGTGTCTGCTCACCTCTGATGCCCTGAGCGTTAGATTTCCACTCTGGCCCAGAAAATGAAGCAACACAGCTGCTTTATTTTTTGTTTTTAGGGTGAGATCCTATATTAACCCCACCCCCCCCCACCCCCCCCCCCTCCAGGATCAGATGATGTAAGAAGGTTATCATCCCAGTAATGTGGGCTCATCCTGAGCTCCAGAGGATGCAGAGGAAACAGGTGATTAAACAGAGGACTCCCTCTCCTGGACGCGGCAGCGCTGGTTCCGTGGAGGTTGTGCGGGTTGTTGTTAAACCCAATAATGATTCCTGATCACCGGCCACGAGAGACGCGTTTCTGCAGAGTTTCCATGTCCAGACTTGAGGCGGCGCTCTGTCTTCCCTCCCCCTCTTCAAATCAAAAGGCTCCAACCAGCGACTGTAATTGATTTGCAGTCTCATGTCACGCTGCAGTTTCTATTGTTTACTTATAAAATGATAATAAATAAATAAATAAATAAATAAAAAACCATCAACACTGAGCAACATCACGGAAGCACCTGATCACCTGGGCTGGAGGTAAATCAGTGGATAAAAAATGCACCAACTCCACATCAATTAACCTCACGTGTTCTGCTAATGAAGGCGCGTGAGTGTTAAAAATGTGCAATTAATCAAAGGAAGGGGAGAAAAACGCAGTAGAGGCTTCACACAGGATCAGCTCACTTTCTTTTCTCTTTTTTTTCCAAATCAGCATTTAAAACCATCGTGATCGAGTCCAGGCAGGTTTAAATGTCGCTTTTAAATCCGTGCGCGTGCTTTGTGTGTGTGTGTGTGTGTGTGTGTGTGTGTGTGTCCGCTACCACCACCACAACGGCGCTTTCACCCTTCAACCAAAAAAAAAACAAAAGAACACAAACACACAGACAACAGGTTATTAACGGCCCCTTTACCTCCCCCGCGTGTCTCCTCCTCTGTCGTGTTCGCAGAAGCGGAGACCTTCCCCCCCGGGATCCGCGAGGTGGTCTCTGCCGGTCGGACCTGGTCCCTCCTCAGCCCGTCTCCAGCAGACAGAAGGGAAGCCCCGGTGCCGTCCTGCGTGCGCTCCTAAACGCACCATCCGGCAGCACAGAAAAGGGAAGCGTGGATGGATGGATGAGGAGAGCGAAGGTGGGTGAGGAGGAGGAAGAGGAGGAGGGAGGAGGAGGAAGAGGAGGAGGGGGGGGAGGAGAACGAGGAAGAGGAAGGGGGGGAGGGGGTGTTGCCTCTGGCTGTTCATCTCTCGCAATCAGTCTTTTCAGAAGCGCTATTAAAAAGGAGGATGAGAGCATCCAAATGCATGTTAAACAACTTTTTTTTCTTTGTCCATGCAGAATACAGTCAGCGCACGTTTTAAATTATTGAGCGATTTTTCTTTTTCTATTCATCCTAGAAAGTAGGATTCTGTAAAACTGCCATTAAAGATATAAATATAAGAAGATAAAAGACAGAATACATGAAGTTTGCACTGATCAGCAGCTACACACGTCACCCCATACATCAGTATAGCCTATATTTAAAAGGTTATTCAAATGCCACAGCAATAAGTCAGATAGGAATATTATAGTGATGGCAGAAGAGATCAGAAATGGCATAAAATATGATAAGATCACGTTAAAGTCACTGATTTCCCGGCTGGGCTCATAAACCCCAGGAGGACCTGCAGGAATATTAAAAACTGTGGTTTTTCATCAGAGATTCTGTTTTCCTTTCTCTGTTTTTTCCCTTTTTTTCCCCCCAGTTTTATTATTTTTCTTTTTCTTTATTGGAACGATATGTGAAGTACATGTGTGCTGCAAAAGCAACAGATAAGGAACACAGTGGATAGGAAAAAAAAGAAGAACAATAGAGAGGGGGGGGGTCATTATGTCTTTTTTCTGTAGGCTTTCGCTCCTACACACAGACACAATGCTGGCGCTGGAGCCTCTGTGTGACTGACAGTTTTATCAGTTCACTTCAATATGCTAATGCTTTATTATTGGCAGGGGCTCCGTCATATTGCACACCCACCGTCGCCATAGAGGAGCAGAGCAAGATGGGAATTAGCTAAATGGCATAGCTGTGTTTTTAGGTGAACCGTCGATGCAGCTCAACAGACCCAGGATCTGCTGCTGCTGCTGCTGCCGCAGGTTGTGGGTTTGAATCCCTCTTACAGTGTGTTTTTATACTGTCTTATAAAAGACACACAGTAAGATACTAATGCAAAATTCAGTTCACCTAACGCTTGGCTCAACCTCACAGATCGCATCAGAGATGTACCGTGTCAAAGGATGCAGTGCGTCGTGCAAAAAGGTTTTATCCCATCAGAAAACTGAAGCTGTTCCTCGCTGTATCTACGAGTAATGTCATGCCGATCTTTTAAAGATTATGTGCACAGAGCATTCCCTTTGATATTATGGGTTACATCAACATCCTATACATCCCTGGCAGATATTGTACAAGGCAAAAAGAATCCAGCGAAGTCTGCCATGATGGAAGAAGACACAAAAGACCGAGGAGTGGCTTGGGTAGAAGTATTAAAGATGTGATTAAACTCCCTCAGTGGATGGCTTCTTGCTGTAGGTATCAATTTCCTGCAAATAAGTAGGTGTTTTCATTAACCTATGACAGAAATGTCCATGCAAAGACATTCATCAATCCATTAGCTCTATCGCTTTATCCTCCGAGGGTCAGTGTGGGTCACTGGGCGAGAGGTAGAGTGCACCCCGGACAGGTCGGCAGTCCATCACACGGCTGACACATACAGACAAACTATTCAATCTAAGGCCAATTAAACTGCCCTGCATGTCTTTGGACTGTGGGAGGCAGCCGGAGGAAACAGACTCAACAAAGAAAGGCTGCAGCTGAACCAGGGTTCAAACACAGAACCTTCCAATGCAAACTGTAATTATACGAAAACAAGCACTTTTTCGTTTTTGGTTTTCTTTTTCACGACTCGACACAGAATTTACTTCATGCCAAGATTAATAATCAAAACTCCTGAAGTGCAGCATGCAAGTCAACGTGAGATCCACGAACCACCACAACAACAACAACAACAACAACAACAACAACAACAACAACAACAACAACAACAACAGCATGAGTTCTCCGCTGTCACTCACAACACAGTGACAATGTTCCTCACTATATCCAACAGGACAGAAGAAAAGCATGACAAAACATCCAGTACATTAGTGAAGCAACAGACAGAGCTGTCGTCATAACAACAGACTCGTCTCACACTCAACTGACTCTCCTGGAACTCCCCTACATGCAAATGTGAATGCAAATGTTCCATATATGAAATAAACATTTTTATTTCATATGTACATATATGTAAAAAAAAATATTATGAAACCTATTAGAAATGTCATATATTGACATATGTTACATAAATATATATATATATATATATATATCCATCCCACAGCCTGTCAGTATATGTTGAGATTATAAACAGTAGGTTCAGGATGTGAAATTAGACATGTTTAAAATTTATGAGAAATGAATAAGAAAAACATGAATAAACATATAGATTTTTTAAACATGTATGTTGTCTTAATAAATGTGCATAAATGAATTAAATATATAATGTTAACACATAGTTTTTACATAGAAAATATATGAATTCTATGTAAGAATTCATCACATTTTTAATATATATACACATACAAATGTTCTTATAAACTTAGACACTTACTTAACTATAAACTATGTAACAGCAAGTTGTTTTGAAGGATTATTATTATTCATTTCTGCTTCACTGTAGACACCCTAGACCCCAGGGTATGTTTCACCTGTTGCCACCTGTTCTAAATACATTCATGTATGAGAAAAGACTGATACCACTCTCATATCTGTCAACCAGCGCTCAGTTAGCTTAGCTTAGCTTAGCTTAGCTTAGCATAGAGACCGGAAACAGTCGAACAGAAAACTGGTACACAAACAAGGTACAGCATGTGAAGCAGTGAGCTTTAGAGGTGCTGGTTTTGGACAGCCATGCTAGCTGTTTCCCTTTGTTTCCAGTCTTTATGCTAAGCTAGGCTAACACCTGCTGGCTGCCACTTCATTTGTGACAGCAGTATCGATCCCTTAATCTAAAACTCAACAAGAAAGTGAACTGGGATATTATCCAAAATAAAATATTGCTTAATGAAATTGCTGTATTTTCTTTGATGCTAAAGAAATTATTCCAACTTCCTTTTAGTTCCCTTTTGATATCAAAGGAAATAAAGTGACAGTGACAAGAAGATACGAAACTACAGCAAAGAAAAACTCAGAGTGTTAGGACAATGAATCAACAGTAATCTGTGATTTATCATCCAAACTTTTCTCTTTATGAGACATACAAACATATCCTATGGCACAGCAGGGGTTTCAGAAACATGTTCTTTAGCCGACTTTAATCTGCATAAAATCCTGTGGATCATGAGGGCGTCGTTTGCTGGTTGTCTGCCTGCTTATCTCTTTAGCTGCCTGTTTGTTTACCTGTCTGCCTCTCGCTTCACCTGTCTGTCTGTTTTATAATTGAGTTGCCAGGTTTCTGTCTTTCTGTCTGTCTGTCTGTCATCCTGCTTGTCTGGTTTTCCATTTGGCTGCATTCCTGCCCCTCTCTGTGTGTGTGTGTGTGTGTGTGTGTGTGTGTGTGGGTGTGTGTGTGTGTGTGTGTGTGTGTGTGTGTGTGTGTGTGTGTGTGTGGGTGTGTGTGTGTGCCCAGCTTGTGGGAAGACTCGCAGCTCTGGATTTATGCTGCATGTTGAATAGTAATGTTGTTTTAGCCTACAGCAATCTGTCCAGAAAAGAATGACTTACTGTCGATTTACTGGTGGTGTGTGTGTGTGTGTGTGTGTTTCATAAATATTTTTTCTCAGCAGCTCCCTGTTATGAATGTGTAAAAAGGTCAGACCATGTTACGCCTCCTTCACTCAGTGGAATTATTTTTCTGTCCGACCAATACCCTGCGGGGACTGAACTGACTGAAGTGTCTGTAAGTCTGTAACGCTGCCTCACGGCCTCACATGTGTGGTTTTATGTGTGTGTGTGTGTGTGTGTCTATCCCTACATCCACTCAACCATCCCTCCCTACAGCCTGGTAAAGATGCTGAGCCTCAACAGCGTCTATATTTAGCTGCTGGTTCAATCAGTGACGGCAGAGCCACAGCGCCATGACTCTGCATACTGATAGTACTACTGCCTATCACCACCTCCGCTCACCTCTGGAGGGAGAGATATAGACAGACTGAGACTGAAATATAAGGAGGAAGGCAGGGGAACGGGCAAATTAAAGAAATGATGATAAGGAAATGAGAGCAGAGGCACCGAAAAAAATGACAAAAGAATTAAAAGAGAGAGAGAGAGACAGATTGTGCCGTAATCCTATCACACGGTTAGACGGGAAGGAGCATGAGAAATAGGCACGAGGAGAAGGAAAAGGAGGTAATGATGTGTGAGCCAGGTGAAGAAGAGGAGGGATGAAAGGAAAGAGACAGGTGTAAACGCAGAGGCAGAGGGATCGAGGGATGGAGACAGATGGAGAGAGGTGGGGAAAGAGAGAGAGAGAGAGCAAGAGAGAGAGAGACAGAGGGATATGAAGAGGAAAACAGGAAGTGGAGAGTTCACACAACCAAGGATGAAGATGCAGTGATCGAAGGGTGGATGAAGACACAGAGGGAAGGGGAGAATATAGCTGCAGCGTCTGAGGAAAGAGAGGCATAGAGAAATGAGTTCCTTAGAGATGGAGAGACTGGGGGGGGGGGTACCAGGGGAGGGAAAAGGAAAAGAGAGTTCACACAAGAGCAAGCAGAGGAAGCTGTAACAGTCTGCAGGGTTTTCTGTAGCAAAGGAGCAGAGTGTACTCTATTGGTATGCAATGTCGCTGAGTGGATTTGGAGGGAAATGAAAGTACAGAGATGGAGAAGAGAGAGAGAGGGAGAGAGAGAGAGAGAGAGGAGGCAGGAACAAGTACAGAGGAAGAAAGAGGCAGAGCGACTCTACTGAGACTCCATTGAGAGATAAAGAAATGGATTTTCTAGCGTATAGCTGCACTGTGGACTGTAGAGTGAGAGGTTAGGACTGATTCAC